GATTTCCAAATATATGTCCATTACATAGTATTTCTTAGTTTTACCAAGTGATAAAAAAGAAAAGTGAGAGTAATTAGTCTCGTGCTCAAGCCCTAACTTTGCCATTCATCAGCCAAGTGACCTTGGGCGAGTTGCTTACTCTATTGAGAGATTTAGTTTCCTCTTTTGTAAATGGGGATTACACTCATTTTATATTATTGTTTTCAAAGGTTAAGTGAGATTTTAATTACAAATATTACAAACACCACAATAACAATGCAAGAAAAATTACCAAGTGACTAGAATTATTTGTATGTCTTCCCTAATAATTATAAAATAATTATGTTGGTTACCTAATAGAAAGACAGATTCTATTAGATGAGTCAATAATTAATTGGGATTAATAAAGTCACTAGAATGGTGTTTTCCACAAATTTAACATAGTGCTTACAAAATCACTGCTCTGATTGTTATGATTCACCACAAATACTCCTTCAAATATTTCCTAAATTACGTAGTTTCTTAGATGAAATGAAATTATCCAAATACGTAATCAACTATTCATCAAAATTTTTACTTCAAGCTCTCACCGGTGTGGCTCAGTGGAGAGTGTCGGCCTGCAGACTGAAGGTCCCACATTCGATTCCCATCAAGGGCATGTACCTTGGTTGTGCTCACATCCCCAGTAGGGGGCGATCAGGAGGCAGCTGATCAATGTTTCTCTCTCATCGATGTTTCTCACTCTCTATCCCTCTCCCTTCCTCTCTGTGAAAAATCAATAAAATATATTAAAAAAAAAAAAAAAAGATTTTCAAGTTTCTAAGAGGATCCCGCTTCTAAGCACACATTTCTAAGTAATGCAATTCAACTAATGCCATGGAGATTTCCTAGAGCCAATAAATGAAATTCTAAAATTTTACTGTAATACATTGGACTCTATTAATTATCCTTGATTCTTTCCCAAAACTAACACCAACCTAATTCATTCATTCATTAAATGTCTCAATACCTACCATGCACCAAGTCCTATGGTAGGTACTTTGGGCATATAACCTGCGATCAAGAGATAAGGACTCATATTCAAAATAAATGTGCTTGTGCCTTTGAAATGACAAATAACCAGCGAAAGGTACATGACCCATGGAACTCACCTTTTGGATGAACACTGATACACTGATGGATCTGTCACATTTCTCACCCCTCATCCATGTAAAATATAAAGCAAGGAATGAGATGCCATTGCCTTATGACTTACTTCCAAAAAGCTCTCTCAATGGCTCAGCTTATCTAATCTTCCTCCTTTATTTTCTTCTTCCACATCATGATTTTTACTAAGTTTTATGATGATTTTTTTTAATGAGTGAAATTATCTGGAAAAAATATTTTTCAATTTTTGTTTAATAAAAGTCAACATTGCTGTATAAAAGTATTGCATGTGGAGACCATTTATACAAATATATACAATTTCAAAAAACTAAACTCCAGTTTATTTCCATAGAGATAAAAAGTTCGAGAACACATAAAAATATCCAAAATCATAGTTTATTCTTTAGGAATGTAAACTCTGGAAATACAATTAGAAACAGGTATACTTAGTATGAAAAAATTAGTATCACTACATAATTAGAAGTGAAGATAAGAGGTACATAATAAACTTCATTTAAGAGAAAGTAACAGTGTGTGAAACAGGATCTTGAATGTACTAGCAGAAACTTCATAGCAAGACACAGGTGGATACTCTAGAACTCTACAATAAAAAACCACAAAAACATCTTCCAAATGTTCACTGCTAATCTCCTTAGATATGCACCAGGTACAAAGTATAGAAGACAATATATTTATGTTCTCTGATGAAGAATATAACAATATTAAACATAAATGTGAATAACTCAAAGTATTGAGTATAATTTTACTAAGCAACAAATCTAAAAGTATAAATTCATGCTAATTAAAGGATTAGAGAGGTTTTTTTTTTCTATCCAAAGATTGGGTAAACACTATTATACATTAATTTCTACTACAATGCTTAGTTTGTGTCCATCAAATTATTCCTACTTTTTAAGACTTTTAAGAAAATATTTTCAATTACATTATTTAACATATATATTTCTTTGAAGTGCATCCCTGTAATAAATTATAGATTTATCGTACCTATAGACTCAGATTTTAACAAACTTCTTTAAATATTTAAAATTGTCTCAGAGTACATTTCTTTCCATAATTTAAAGATTTAACACTTTTATTCTTCCAAAATAGGCAAAATCTCTTAAAACTGGAATTCTTTTTATCTATTTTGGTTTAAAAAATATTCCTTCCTTCAATTCAATTTTTTGTTTTTAAATGAGTAATGTGTGCTAAGAAGTTATAATTGAAAAGAGCAATAAAGTATTACTTTTCAAAATAAACTCTGTCATCATTGAAGGACTGAGAATTTCTACTCTGCAAGTCCCACAGAGGTCCTTAAAAAGCTCACTAGTGGTGTACAAAAAACTCCAGGGTGCTCACTTGCCCTGGGTCACCTGGGAAAATTCTTCTTTGTTTCTCTCCCCTCTTAGATTCCAAAAGGCAAATACTGGGAACCCAGTTTTAATAGAAGACCACAGGTATTTGGGTATTTGAAGAGTGAGAGGTTTAAAATGTAGAATGAAGCTGCAATGTCTGCTCAGATCTTCTGAGTGATGGGGTGTAAGACTCCAATCTTGTGCAGAATCCTTCTCATGATTAAAAAAAAAAAGTATTATTCTACATATGTAGGAAGTCTGTGACCAAATGGTCACATCAATATCTTCATGAGAAAATGACCTACAAAAGCCACCCAACTTTCAAATTTGGAAAGATGAGTGAGAAGAGAATAGTAGGGATAATTATAACCATTATCACAACATTATCCAATATTTATAACATCTATAAAAATTTTTAAATATATAATTCTTATTTAAAATAGTACCAAAGGTACTGTAAAAGAATTTTCTGTTAATATATTCTCCAGAAAATTAACTGGTGGAAATTACATGGAGCAAAAATTCAGGACGACCTTACTGAGTATGCCTTCAGAGTTTTTAAAAGAACGTACAATGTACAGATTTGTTGTGCATTGTATAAAAGTGTGGTATTCCTCTGACACTTATACAGACTTCTTCAGCTCCAATTCCATTTATGGTTAATAAGAAAAATATAAAATGTTACATTTTTATTGTAAAGTAAATGAGAATCATTAAAATGTAGTATTAGAGGACTTTAAAAGTCCTATCATTGATACTATTAAACAATTACCATTAAAACAATGACTATGATGAGCTAGTATCTAACATATTTGACCTAGGGTTGTGAGACCACTGAGAACTCTAGAAGTTAGATAAATGATTTGTATGCACTTGATATTCTCTTCTCAAAATTTATTGTATATAAAAATCACTCAAAGATCTCGCTAAAATGCAGAATAGGATTCAGTAGATCTGGTATGACCTGAAATGCTGCATTTTTAATAAGATGCCAGGTGATATCAATGCTACTATACTTACAGTTCTCAGACCACATGAGTGGCAATGATCTAGAATACCACCAAAATGAATTTTCATAATAAAAATTGACATTAAAATCTCATCTCTCACTTTGCCAACTAATGTCTCCACAAACTTCATCTGCAATATTTCCTAAGCATCTTAACTTGTTTAAACTGCTGATCTTTTAAATTAGTTCTTAAGTCTATTAATACTGTTAGTAGCTATGCCTAGGGGAAATTCTTTGTTAAAGAATTACAAAAAGACAACAGAAAATTCACAGTGACATTTTATAAACATTTTAAATTGTGCACAGGATTCCTATTTAATACTATAGCAACCCTCATTGTCTGGTTGCCTCACTTTTTTTTTTTTTTTTTTTTAACTACAAGCTATACCAAATAGATTGCAACAAATTATGTTAAAAACCATATTCTATTTAGAGTTAATAAATGAAAATGAGTTCATGCCTTTTGAATAATTAGATTTAAAATGATAGTCAAAGCAGTTATGGTCAGAACTGCATTTATATTATAAATGTGTTAGCACTCAAAACACACACATTTTTCACAAATTTGAGCTCTGCATAAGCAGGTATAAGAAAACTAGTATTTTCTCTGTGTGACCACAGCGAGGGGCCATGAATAAGGAGACCACTGTGTACTAACAGTGAAAGAGAACAAGTAGACAGTTCTCTAGGCCTTCTTTCCCAGTCAGCTTACTCTCATCCTTAGCCTTGTTTCTCTCTTACTCTGAATTATTACTTATTCTTAATTCACAGGCAACCTCAACCACAGTGAAATGACCATCACTAACAAACACCAAACTTTTACATCCATTTAGAAGTCACACAGCTCTCTACAGCCACACACAAGTTTGCTTAATTTCCACCATATTGCCTTTTTAATATTTATTTTTTCATTGGGAGTAACTACATTGATTATTCTTCCTATTATAACAAAAACATTAAAAATAGGCCTATTCACAAATAAAAAATACATGTAATTTTATTAATACTTTATCATTTTAAGTTTCAGAATACAAACATAAATAACCCTAAATGAGTTAATAGATAAATGTCCTATCTCAATTTTTTTCATATTTTACAGATAAAAATTTACCTAATTTTCTTCATTTGCAGGCAAACAATATGGCTGACACTGGCATCTTGAGAGCTGTGTTGCAAGATTTATACAATTCCCAGGTCACCTTCAAGGATGTATGCTTTGAATTACTAGGATTTTCTAAGTCAAGTGGCCTTACAGCCTATCTTAGAAACTGAAAGGGATTTGCACCTGCTCAGCCCAGATCAAACACTTCCAAACAACACATCTGCCAGCAACATGATTTTTGACATACAAATGTTGCAAAGATAACAATAGAAATTCCTCTGTTCATCCACTGGAATCATATCACAGTCTGTGTACTAAGCCACCAAGCACTTTCCAGTACTTTCCATAAATTCTTCTACTAATCTTAAAGATGTCTGGTTACACACATTCTCATCAGGCACTTTTCACATCATTTTTGTTTTTTCACATGCCCATTTTTCCACACTGACTTGCTGAACAGCCAGCTGTAGAATTCCCGGAGTTGCACCTCTGTTTTATCCTTTAAAAAAAGTTCCCACCCGTGTAGTTTTCCTTTTATTCTGAAGGCCAAACTTACATCTACAAAATAGGAGTTATTAGGTGGAAAATAACTCATGCCCTCACATGGGATGTAACCAATCTGATCAGACCACCTGCCAAAATGTATTGTCACAGTGACAATCTTAGGGCAACAGAAACAAAGAGGAGAAAACAAAAACAAAAACGCATAGCCAAGAAATAACAAAACCATATTTCAACTTTACTGAAACCTAGACATTATTCCCTTGATAAAGCCTTCATAACTTAAAACATCGGGGCTCTGTCAGGAGCAGGGATGAAAGACCCTGGCACTTTCATAAAGGAGCAAAGCCACAATTCCAGATTCATTGGTCACATGAGAAAACTCTTACAAATTAATCTGTGGACAACGTAATGCTAATACTAGGAGGTCTCTGCTGACCTGATTGGTGCTTCATTGGAAGTTCAGTCCTTTCAGAAACGTAAATAAGCTTTTCTTCTTGGAGACTACAAGCAGAAAACCTGTTGGCATCTGTCCCAGTGCCACAGCCAACAACAGCTGATGGGTTATGTGGGACTGTGACACCACTGACTTGCTCAAAGGATTTACTAAATACAGTCGCAGCAGTCTTAGCCAAACCATGGCTGTTAGGTTTAGGCAGGGACTGGCTGGTTGTTAATGTAAGTCTCTTCAAAGAGAGAAGCTCAAGATTCTCACTTTGGGCTCTCTGAGTTTGTTTTCGAGCAAAGTGATCTTTGCACGACTCCCCTGTGGTTTCTTTTTCTTTTCCTCCAGTTTTGTTTCCTCCCGACCGTCTCTGAGTCTTTCCTACACTTGTCTTGTTACTAGAATTGTGACTACTGTTTGATAAGCCTGACTGGCTGGTACTAGATGCAGCCCTGGAATAAAATCCCTCATCAACTTCAGATATGTCCATCAGTTCTTCTTGGTCTGTTAATTCTGTATTTCCTAAACAAAGAAATAACAAAGATTAATTAACACTAAGTATTTCCAATATTATTTTTTCATGATTAATATCAAATCAATTACACTTTAAATAATTAAACTTTAGCATAATTAGGTAAAGCAAAAGTTTATAGACCAAAATCAAATAATAAATCAAAACATTCTATAAAATGCCAAAAATAGTTCATTGTAATTAAATAATACTAATTTAGAGTATATTAAACTAAGAGCATGCCATAAACCAAACCCCACTGTGTTTTTAGAAAGAATTTTCTTACTACCCATGCAAAGCATCAGAAACAATTAGGAAAAATACCACACAGTAAAGCTGGGGGCAAGCTCTCCTCCAGTAACAAAGCAGTAGAAAAATCAAAGTTCTTACCAAAGAACTTTAAAAAAAATTTTATTAAAATATTTTCAAACATCATTAAAGATAGTATACTATATTATAGGTTATGTTATAAAGATAAAAATATAGACTATCAGAATCAAAAACTCAAACTTGTTAAAATTTTATATATATATATATAGATATATATATATATATATATATATATAGAGAGAGAGAGAGAGAGAGAGGTATCTATATATCTCTATATGTGTACACACACACATATATATATATATATTTCTTCATATCAAAGATGGCAAAAATACAATGAAATAAATAACTTTGATCTCAAAACATAAGCAGAAAATTATTTTGAAAGCAATTCTCTGCCTCAGTTTTCATAACAATGTACTCAGAGAATATATAGGTATAACCATTCCAAAGAGCATTAAGAGTCATTGAGAAATTATGGTGCATAATTCATGCATTTTGATTAGATGACATGCAAAATTGTTGTGACTGAACAACTGTTGCTTAAAACATGCAGCAGTGGCCCTTTTCCATGAGATACCTTGGAGTGCAGCTATAAAGTGCTGTGCTAAAACTGCACTCTGCCAGGTGAGTTTATTCCATCCTCCATCAGTTTTCTTACAGATTTTTGCCTCCTGATCTCTGGCAAGCCTTTGCTTTCAGTTCTAGGATCTGTGGCTGTTTCCTGCACACCCTGTATATGCTGAGCATCAATCTCTCCTAGTGTTCTGCCTTTTTCCCCATTCCCGGTTCTCTCTCCGGCCACATTTGTGACACTAATCTCAGGAATGACAAGGATGCCCAATTCAGTAGTATCATTATTGTTGTCAGGTTGCTCTAGAATTGAAGATGATAAGACAAAATGATGGCTGAAAACAAAACAAAATAAAAATGCAAAACAAGAAAAACAAAAGATCCAAAACAAAAACTGGACAACTGAATGTTACAAATTAAGTCAAATATTTGCACTGCAAAAATTTCCATAATTTACAATACCGATGGCACTGGAGACAGTAAGTTCATCTTGTTTTAAATGACAATGAAGAAACTCACAAAGCATCAACAGAGGTTCTGCATTTTTTCACACACATATTTGACATGGACTATGAAACAGAAATTTTTTATAAATCAAAACGGGATTTCTAAGATAACAGTGTGACCACTTGAACCTATTTATAAAGTCCAAGGCAAATATTCAAGGATATATAGCCAAAACTCTAGCTTTTGTCAACAAAAGAAATTAAGTCACTTAGGAATTCCCCTTTGTACACTTAAGATTCTATTTTTTATTAGATTATATAAAGCTAACTCCATAAATCACAATATTGGAAAAATGCTCATTCACTTATGATACCATGGTTAATAACACTACATGTATAGTTTTTGTCTCACACACCAATCATCTTTTATATTAGTAAACATTAATGCAACTGTGATATAACATTCCACAAATTTAGGCCACCTTGTAACAGTTCATTACTAAACTGGAGAAAAGTAAAAATGGATTTGGAAAAACAAATTGTGTGTTGGTCCTTTAATCTTGAAAATGGCCATTGCAATCAAAACAAAGAAATGAACCTCCTACTACTTTATACTTGCAGATATTTTACTCTTTTTGTCTTAAATCACAAAGGCATGATTTTATTTAAAGAAGTCAAGGAAATATCTCTAAGAAATAGAAAAAAAAAAATAGCCTGACTATGTCTACCACGGGGCAGTAATGAAAATTAAAGTTCAAAACAACGTAAAATTATGTAAAACATTTTATATTCTTAAAAAATGTAGACCACAAATCTGCTTGAAAGACATTACATATTACTTTCAAATGCTTTTCATGATAAGATCACAATGTTCTCACTAATGGTGCTAACGCATGTGAAACAGTATCCAAAGCCACATATTCCTAAACTTTGTGGTGCATTGATATCAGCTGGGGATCTTGAAGAACTACCGATGCCTGGCTCTCACATGAGACATTCTTATTTAATTGGTATGAGCTATGACCTGAGCACCGGGATTTTTAAAAGCTCCCAGGTAACTAATGTACAGCAAAGTTTGGAAACCACAGTTCTATTCTGATCTTTCACATTTTGAAAACTTAAAGGTTATTATGGATGTCCTGGGTAGCCCATACCCAGCACAATATACACTTTTGGAGGGCCTCAAACCTCCATGTTGCCCTGGGCTGGCTGGCCAGTGTGCTGGTATAATTTCCCATTTACTTAGTGCTTCAGAAAAATTTGTCTGAAGGTTCTCTAAATGAAATCTTTATTTCCTGAACAGACCAAAGCATGTTGATAAGGTAACATCACACTGCAGTTTCTGGGTGTCCCTACAACACAGGTTTAATGAGACTAGAAAGTTCCAATCAAGCGTATCCCCCATTACTTACAACTGTGTTCAAAGTCAGGGCAAGTAAAATCTTAGTGAGTAAATGCTAAGAAGCCCCTAAAACTGAGAATAAAATCACCACAGTACTGTTGGGAGACAACCAAGACTTGTCTATTTACACTGTAGAAGCAGTTTCACAGATCTATTAAAGGGACCATCAATCCAAAAAATTATAAACTGTGGAAATTATCCAGACATAACAAAGCTAATGCATATTAACACAACAAAGTTTTTAAAAATAAGCATAGGTGGCTAACAAAATAGAAAATACTACTATTTGCATCGAATGCCACTAAATCATTTTTTTGAGTGTGTTCACATGTTATCCAATTACTAGAGGCCCAGTGCACAGAAGTTATGCACTTGGTGAGGGTCCCTCAGCCCAGCCTGTGCCCTCTCACAGTCTGGGAGCCCTTGGGGGATGTCCATCTGCTAGCTTAGGCCCACTCCCCATGGCAGGTGAACATCCTTAGTGCTGCCACAGAGGCAGGAGACATTCCTGCCACTTTGCTGGTTCGCCAGTTGTGAGCCTGGCTCAAGGCTTCTGGCTGAGCGGTGCTCCTGCTGTGGGAGCGCACTGATGACCAGGAAGAAGCTCCTGCATTGAGCATCTTCCCCCTGGTGGTCAGTGTGCATCATAGCAACTGGTTGTTCCACCATCCAGTTGATTTGCATATTAGCCTTTTGTTATATAGGATATTCTCAAAACAATGTGTTCTAGTAAGCCTCTGAAGTAGACAATTTAACTCCCATTTGCAGACAAGAAAACTGAAGTTCAGAAAGAGCCACAAAACTATTCAGTGGGGAGCTAAACAGCAAATCTTTTGATCTAAAATACTGTAAATTTTAACTCTCCAATTCATTAAAATCAATTCAAGTTAAATGTTCTCTGGCATCCTTCAATAAGTTTAATTTATTTGCTAAATTCCTGGTCATTTTATAAAAAGCAACTGTGGTGAAAATTTAGAATTCTGCAAGCAAAACTATAAAATGACAAGAATAATAATATAAAGCAGCACTAGACAACTGGATTGCTAATTACATTTCCTGTGATAGTGGTGAAGATCTGCAGTCCAAGAAGCATAATATTAAAAAAATTTCAAACATGAAATTAGGTGGCAAGTAGAAAAAATAAGAGCATGTGTTTTTTCATAAGCACATATCTTTAATTAATAATATGTATATTATCTGGTAAAAATGGCAAAAATTTAACTGCTTAGTAAATTCATAAAAAGAAAAGCAGGAAACTGTAAAGAGCTAGAAAGAATGGAAATATAATTCTCAGGAAAATTAATGAATAAAGACAATTACATAATTCCAATAAACATTTGTTACATGACATTGCTTCCCATTATTTCTCCAACATCTACAAAGCTCTGTGACCCAATCTCCCTACACACACCTTCATACTGGTCTCCCTATTCCCTAAGCCTGGAATGCTCCTTGCTTGACCATCCCATCAATTTCCCCCATATTTCATATACCCTCCTCCCTACTTCTTAGCACTAATCACTCTCTAACCTACAACTACTTATCTTATCTACCAGTAAGTTCCATGAGGGCAAGGATTTTTGCCTGGTCAGTGCTGTATAATTCAGCACCTGGAAAAGTAATTTGCATATATTAGTTGCCCAACAAATATTTGTTTGATGGACTAAAATATTTCCCGTTATAAGGTAAAATTATTAGAATAAATAAAACATGCAGAAAACATGAGAAAGGTAGGCTAGGAATGTGTTGCTTAAAATTGGAAAAGGAAAAATAATATATAGCTGATATTAGTAAGAATTTTTTACCTGACAAAGAAAAGCAAAGGCTCTTTGCTTTGGAAAAGTAAAGTCGCCATCTCTAAATGTAAGTTTAGTAAAATACACAGACAGTAAAGGGGGGGGGGGGGGGTGAGGGCATGTGCCAGGAGGGTGGGGGTGACCGGGGAAAGGTCAATGGGGAGAAAGGAGACATATTAATACTATATGTAAATATTTAAACAAAAACAAAGCAAACAAACAAAAAAACCTGGAGGGGGAAAATAAGATTTTTTAAAAATCTATAGTTCATTTATTATGTCATCCATAGGATAACATATATACCTAAAAAAAGGCAGTTAATCCTTTCTTTAAGAAAATTATAGATATGTTTTAAGGGAATACAAATGCATAAGAAAACAGAATCTGTTTAAAAGCCCAGAGCTTAAAATCTGTGCAAAAGATGTCATGATTGTTCTATAACTATAAAAGCAATACTTACATTT